GGTGCTCAGGCTCCCCACAAGCTCTCCTCACCCATCACTCCAGCCAGCCTTGCTCCGTGAAGCCTTCTGAGGCCCCTTCCTTGTTTTGGCAAGAGCCCCTCTGTGCCTCGCCTCACCTGTGTGACAAGGGAGACGTAGTAGTAAACTCACCAGTTCACAGATATCTTTCTACTGGACTGTGGGCTCCTTGCAGGCAGAGGTTGCATTTTGTCTGAGTCACCGTAGGGCACAGCACAGACAAGAGATGAGTGAATGTTTGTCCAATGAATGAATGAATGGAGATCAGTGTCCTTAAGTGTGTGGGGGTTGCCTTCCTCTGCAGGTGTACCTGGCCTTGGGCCTGACCCAGTCAGAGATCGATGAGCACTTCACTGGTCCGGCCTTCCTGGCCTGGGGGCGCATGGGCAACCTGCACACCTGGGGTGGGCCCCTCCCCCGCTCCTGGCACCTCAAGCAGCTTTACCTGCAGGTAAAATAATGGGGAAGGGCAGGGCAGAACTGCGCTGGACAGTAACAAGCCTAGGGAGGGTGGTATCAGGTTCTCAGGTAGACCCTGAGGACCCTGTGTGCCCAGGGAAGGGAGGCCTCCCATCTCGGGCCATGCTCACCAGCTCCCCCCATTCTTCTCAGCACCGGATCCTGGACCGCATGCGCTCCTTCGGCATGACCCCCGTGTTGCCTGCATTTGCAGGGCATGTCCCCAAGGCTATAACCAGGTGAGGCTCCCCCCACCCTCACCCGCTCAGCTCAGAGATGGGATTTATTTTCTCCTGCAAGACATGATGTAAAGAAGAACTGAAGCTCTGGATGTAGCCCTGCCTTGACTCCTGGCTCTGCTACCTGCTAGCCGTGTGACCTTGAACAGATTATGTGACTGCTCCGTGCCCCAGTTGCCTCACTTGTAAAATACAAATATACACAGCTGGGCACAGAGTCTTAGCAAAAGGCAGCTCTCCGAGCGGTAGTCGGGGTGCGCTGGTGTCTGTCCTTCCTGCTCCTCTGTGCTGCCCCCATCCTCTCCTGTGGCTGGGAAACTTCTTCCAGGCCCGGCTGAGACCTGCCCTCCTTCTAAGCCCTGCTGGCGCCCCCAGCATTGGTTACCACCCCCTTCATGCCCACGAGCACCCCGTTGCCACCACCACGTTCACGGTACTCCGTGCACGCTGCCAGCCTCCCCGGCCACCCCTCCATCTCTCCACGTGGGTGGCAGGAGCCTCATGCATACTTTCAGCAGACGTTTGTCGGGCTGTCTGGGGCTGCCAGGCCAGGCTCTGTGCTGGGCCCTGGGGAGGCGGCCACAAAGGGGCACTGAGTTCCTGCTGGAGGGGGGGGAATAGGTGGGTGGGGCTACGGTACCTAGATAGGGCCCACCTCTCCGTCAAGGTCACTTCTGCCTGGGGAAGGAGGGCAGCAAGGGTTCCAAGCAGGGGCAGTCCTGGCCCAGGCCTTGAAAAATGAGTGCTGCTTGCTGCAGGCAGTGGGAGGGGGGAGACAGCGAAAGCTTTCCAGATGAGGTAAAACTCAAAAGACACCAAGGAGTGACCAGCTGGGTGAGCAGGGAGGGAGGAGGGAAGGACTCCAGGCCCGGGGCACAGTGTGCGCACGGGCTCAGAGGCCTGCGAGGCCAGGGTGCGTTCCAGGAGCTGCAGGTGAGTCAGTGGGGCTGGTCATGAAGACCGTGTCAGCCTCCAGTAAATGTCTGGACTGTTCCCACCCCCAACAAGGGTGTTCCCTCAGGTCAATGTCACCCAGCTGGGCACCTGGGGACACTTCAACTGCTCCTACTCCTGCTCCTTCCTTCTGGCTCCGGAAGACCCCCTGTTCCCCATCGTGGGGAGCCTCTTCCTGCGGGAGGTGACCAAGGAGTTCGGCACGGACCACATCTACGGGGCCGACACTTTCAATGAGATGCAGCCCCCGTCCTCAGAGCCCGCCTACCTCGCCGCGGCCACTGCCGCCGTCTACCAGGCCATGACCACAGGTTTGGCGCCGGGGGGTTGGGCAGGGGAGCCCCTGGACCCTCGGGGGCTGGGAACAACACCTGACTGTGACACGTAGCGCTTCACAGTTTGCCGAGCCCTTGCACGCACACGTCACCCCATGCGATCAGACTGGTCGAGGGGTGAGCTCTGGAGCCAGTCAACCTACTCACACTCTGGCATTGCCACTTCCTGCCTGTGTGACTGCTAACAGGTCACCTCCTTCCCAGTGCCTCAGTGGCTTCGTCTATAACGTGGGGCTCCCTCTTCGGTGGAATGATGCCCAGCCCGGAGTAAAACGCCGTTGAAAGCTGGCTGTTGAAAATCCAGGGGTGGGCAAAAGTAGGGGTACAGTTGTGAATACCTAAACCACGGAGTTTGTTCTTATTATTTATTAATGATTTTATCATTTACGTTATAACTGTAAACCTCCTTTTGCCCACCCCGTATTTTACCTGGTCTCTACCTCCATGCTGAGTACTTAACCCAGGCCAGAGATTGGAGAATGTGCCCGAAGCTGTTAGGTGCCCTTCCTGGTGCAAAAATGGGGACCCAGCGCTCCTTCCTGCTGCTCACAGGGGAGGGGGGTGGGGGAGAGGAGCCAGGCCAGGAGTGGAGGCCTCTCGGCGGGGAGGCCTCTGTGTCCGGCAGGGAGGGGACCGGTTAGTTCAGCGTTCCTTGAACAGCGCTGCCCCAAGTCTGAGGGGACACAGAGCCCGTCAGATCTGCAGACCCAGCCTCCTTCCCTTCCCTCCCCCACCTCGTGAGTGAGAATGACCAGGGCTGGAGCCCAGGAATGTGTGTTTTAACCAGCCCTCTGGGTAATTCAGATGTTCCACAAAGCTTGACAGCGCCCAGCTGGAGCTCCCATTGGTGGGGAGGAGAGAGGAAGGGTGTGTGTCATGAAGTGCCCGCCGGTGCAGGGGGCGGGGGCGGGGGGGCATGGTACGGGGAAGGGGGGCGTCCTGTGGTAGTCACTAAACTTCCCTGGACCCCTGTTTCCTCATCTGTAGAATGGGGTGAGTGTCCTCCTGACCTCTCCTCTCTTCTCATCACCCCTCTTCTCTGTCCCCCTCACCCCACCCACAGTGGACCCCGACGCTGTATGGCTCCTCCAAGGCTGGCTCTTCCAGCACCAGCCCCAGTTCTGGGGCCCTGCCCAGGTGGGGGCTGTGCTCAGGGCAGTGCCCCGTGGCCGCCTCCTGGTTCTGGACCTGTTTGCTGAGAGCCAGCCCGTGTACAAGCGCACAGCCTCCTTCCAGGGCCAGCCGTTCATCTGGTGCATGCTGCACAACTTCGGGGGCAACCACGGCCTGTTTGGGGCCCTGGAGGCCGTGAACCGAGGCCCTGCAGCCGCCCGCCTCTTCCCCAACTCCACCATGGTCGGCACGGGCATGGCCCCCGAAGGCATTGGCCAGAACGAGGTGGTCTATGCCCTCATGGCGGAGCTGGGCTGGCGGAAGGACCCAGTGACAGATTTGGGGGCCTGGGCGACCAGCTTTGCAGCCCGGCGGTATGGGGCCTCCCAAGGGGACGCAGAGGCAGCATGGAGGCTACTTCTCAGGAGCGTCTACAACTGCTCCGGCGAGGCCTGCAGTGGCCACAATCGCAGCCCCCTGGTCAGGCGGCCGTCCCTGCACATGGTTACCACAGTCTGGTACAACCGATCAGACGTGTTTGAGGCCTGGCGGCTGCTGCTGACAGCCAGTCCCACCCTGGCTGCCAGCCCCGCCTTCCGCTACGACCTGGTGGACATCAGTCGCCAGGCGGTGCAGGAGCTGGTCAGCTTGTACTACGAGGAAGTGAGGACTGCCTACCGGAACAAGGAGCTGGTTCCCCTGCTGCGGGCGGCAGGCATGCTGGCCTACGAGCTTCTGCCCTCGCTGGATGACCTGCTGGCTAGTGACCGCCACTTCCTGCTGGGCAGCTGGCTGGAGCAGGCCCGGGCAGCGGCGGTCAGTGAGGCCGAGGCCCACTTCTATGAACAGAACAGCCGCTACCAGCTGACCCTTTGGGGGCCGGAGGGCAACATTCTAGACTACGCCAACAAGCAGCTGGCCGGCCTGGTGGCCGACTACTATACCCCCCGCTGGCGACTCTTCTTGGACATGCTGGTTGAGAGCCTCGTCCAAGGTGTCCCCTTCCAACAGCACCAGTTTGAGAAGGATGCCTTCCAGCTGGAGCAAACCTTTGTCCTCACTACACGGAGGTATCCTAACCAACCCCGAGGTGACACTGTGGACCTGGCCAAGAAGCTCTTCCTCAAGCATTACCCCCGGTGGGTGGCTGGCTCCTTGTGACAGATGAACCACCCCAGGCCATGCTCTCCCCAAACGCCAGGCCCCGGGCAGGTTCCGGGTCTGGCGTTGGGCAGGCGTCACTAGAGGTCTCCAGGCCTGGGTGAAGGAACCCGAGACCTGCCAGTCGGATCAGGGGAAAGAGATTTGGAGGGAAGTGAGCTGTCCTCCCCCAGCCCACCCCCAAATTTGGGATCAAAGTACTCTTTCAATACAACTTAATAAACTGATGAACCAGGCCTGTCTGTCTGATGTCACTGCTACGACCCCTTGGAGTGCTCCGGGTTAGAGCGTGGACAGCGGAGTGAGGTCCTTCTCCCCGCCCCCTTGCCTTGTCTTCCCTGACCTCTGAACTGAGAATGCCTTCCCAAAGCATTTCCTTTCATACCCTCTGCAGCAAACTCTAGAAGTTACCATCCTCTCTGTGGGACAGGGATATTGCCCAGGGATTTCAGGGCCCACCTGGGAGCCCACACCTACGATTACTAAGCTTCGCCTCACCTCTGTCCAACTAAGGAAGGGCATTCCAAACAGCTGGCTCACCTCTGCCTTGACCTTAGAGCAGAGTGGGGAGAGCCAGCTGGGGACTGCCAGAGGGTGCAGCCTTGAGATGGTGCTGAAGACACAACACGGGGCAGGGCGTGGGCGGGGCCAAAGAGGCGCTATCTGGTCCAGAGGCTGGAGCCTAACCCTCCCTGCGCCTCTCCCACTCTCCTCTCGTGTCATGGACCGCGCAGTGGTTCTCATCACCGGCTGCTCCTCGGGCATCGGCCTGCACCTGGCCCTGCGTCTCGCGTCAGACCCATCCCAGGGCTTCAAAGGTACATGAGTGGTTTTGGATGGAGAGCAAACCCCTGGTCCAAAAGAATCTAGGTAAGTTAAGTAGGCCAATCAGATCCTTGTTTTCTCCCGCAACCTGCAGTGTATGCCACTTTCCGGGACCTGCGCACGCAGGGCCAGCTGTGGGAGGCAGCCAAGTCCCGAGGGTGTTCTCCCAGCTCCCTGGAGACACTGCAGCTGGACGTGCAGGATGCAGATTCTGTGGCTGCAGCCAGGGCACGTGTGACTGAAGGCCGTGTGGACGTTTTGGGTGAGCCTCCCCAAAATGCACGCAAGAGCCTCCCCTGGCCTGTGTCCAACCCCAGATATCCAGCAGCCCAGGGCACCCAGGGGATCCAGCTGGGGCAAGGGGCAGCGCGTCAGGCATGGGGGCCAAACCTCTCCCCGCAGTGTGCAACGCCGGCCGGGGCCTGCACGGGCCACTGGAGGCGCACTCAGCTGACGCCGTGGGCTCTGTGCTGAACGTGAACTTGGTCGGGATGGTGCAGGTGCTCCAGGCCTTCCTGCCGGACATGAAGCGCCGCCGCTCAGGGCGTATCCTGGTGACCGGGAGCATGGGAGGCTTGATGGGTGAGTAGAAGGGGCCTGGCTGGGGGTGAGACAGGCCGCGGCCCAGCAGCGGGCTTTCCACAGGTGCGCTCGCCAACGCTTCTCAGCAGCCTCCTCTCTCCTCGAAGGGCTGCCCTTCAACGAAGTTTACTGTGCCAGCAAGTTTGCGATTGAAGGTCTGTGTGAGAGTCTGGCGGTTCAGCTGCTGCCCTTCGGGATCCAGTGAGTCACCGCCCCGCCCCCGGTGCCCTCTGAATCCTGATGGAAACCCCCATACCCAGCTCATCTCTTCCCAGGGGGTCTCGCTGGCCCCTCCCTACTACAGCCCGTATTTGTTGTGTGCCAGGCACTGTACTGGGCCTATAGCACATGCAAGACTAGTGAGTGAGGTGTCTGTGTTATGATTGGGAAGCTCTGGCCCAGAAGGTTTAGCCAACTCCCGCAAGGCCACACCATACGTCAGTTACCCAGCCAAGCTGGAATCCTGACGCTCTCACCCTCAGGTGGACGTGGGAGCCCTTCTTGGGCACTGAACCACTTTTCAAACGCCCGGGTTAGCCTATGCTCCTGCCACCTGCCCACGTGCAGACCCCTTCCCACGCTCCTGCCGCGTGCGGGTGGCAGCAGGGGGCTGGGGGCCCGGCCGGGGGCCCCGTCCTCATGAGCCCCCAGCCCACCCGCTCCTCTGCTGCTCTCGGGTCGCCAGCGTGAGCCTCATCGAGTGCGGCCCGGTGCGCACCGCCTTCCAGGAAAAGATCCAGGACAGCCTCAGCGCAACGCTGGACCATGTAGACGCCCAAACCCGAAGCCTCTTCTCCCAGTACCAGCGCCACTTCCAGCAGGTCTTCCGCGAGGAGGCGCAGGACCCAGAAGAAGTGACAGAGGTGGGTGCCAGGCAGGGCTCCCGGAGTCGGGGCGGCACCCAGGCCCGCGCGCGCGCGCGCCCAGCCCCAGCTAACGTGCTCGCTCCCTCCTGCTCAGGTCTTCCTCGCGGCGCTGCGTGACCTGCGGCCCGCCCTGCGCTACTTCACCTCCGAGGCCATCCTGCCCCTGGTGCGTCTGCGCCTCGCTGACCCCAGTGGCTGCAGCTATGTCACTGCCATATACCGCTCCGTGTTCGGTGACAAGCCCGCCAAGGGTTCTGACGGTGTTCAAATGGAGGCCGGAGCCGGAGAATGGGGGGACCCTGAGCTTGGTGCTCCTCCAGCCGCCCCGCAATAAAGGCCTGGTCCCCACGGTCTGTCTCTTTCTCTCCTTTGCGTCCTGGGAATGTGCGGTTCTGGAAAATAGAGCGGAGCTGCACTGCACTGGCGAGGGCAGCAAGTGGGAGACCTGGAAAGACCTTGTTAGCCTGAGTTATACCTGCCCGGAAGCCTCCCAGAATGAGGGGAGAGCCAGCCAGGGTCATCCTGCAAGTCCACTGCTCTTGCCTGCAGCTTTAGGAGTTAGGACAACTTGGATGGTGGGGAAAGTCTGGTTGTGACTTGGCCACCAGTCATGGGACTTCAGGCAAGTTCTTTACCCTCTGAGAGTCTATTTTCTTAGCTGTAAAATGGGTATAATACCTATGTCATGGATCATAGTATGAATTACTTGAGGTGATGCTCGAAAGTGCTGGTGTAGAGGTCTTCACGGCGGCCATCGCTGTTACTGCTGGTGATGTTACTAGTGTTGTAATTATAGTCCCATGGGGAAGCCAGATGTGCAAATAAGAAACAAGGCCAAATGAATTAAAAGGAGGCAGCCCCACTCACCCTTCTCCTCGTCCCCCACCCTGGGCCAAACTTCGTGGGAGGGATCCCCAGGAGCCCAGAAGCTGCCTCTCACCAGGAGGTCTGGTGGAGGCTCCAGGCCTGGCTGGTCTGCCCAGGTGTCTGTCTTCCTTCCTGAAGCCAGGGAGGGAGCTGGGGCGCAGGAGCCACTGAAGGGCCTGGGGGGCTGTGGGGCCACCTCCTGCTAACCTCCTCAGAGGCTGGCGCTGGAGGAGGGTGGAGAGCGAACAGAAACTAGGTGAGTAGGTGTCAGGCAGAGGAGAGAGGCAGGGCTGCCCTGGAGGGAACTGTGCCCTGAGAGAGAGATTAGGAAATGAGGAGGGGACAACCAGCGCAGAGAGGCCAGCTGCCGAGAGCCAAGAAGTGCCAATGGAGAGGAACCTCCAGGCTTTCTGGGGCTTTGGGTGGGGCTTTGGGGGAAGGGAGCGCTGCATCTCGACCTGTCCCTACTCCTAGAAAGTGACATGCCCCGAGTCTTTGGCCCGCCTGCTGCTTCTGCCCCTAGGGGGCAGGTTCAGAGGGGCCTCAGGCACCCCGTCCCTGCCTGTCTCCCTGCCCTTCTGGCCCAGATGGGACTGCTGTCCCTGCAGCGTCCAGGAAGGCCACCGGAAAGCGGCAGGGCCAAGGTGGCACGCAGCTCTGGACCATGGTAACTGTTCTCTTTGCTCGCGTGTGTGAGTGTGCGTAGGCACACGCTCAAGAGGTCACCGGTGGGGGGACGTGAGGAAGGCAGAACGTGCCCACGCTCTCTTCCGTGCATCCATACTCTCCACAATCCCAAGTAGTCCTGTAGCAGAGCCCCCTGTGATTTTAATGTGCATAGTAATTTTGGCAGCTAGAATTAAATAATTTAATGCTTTTTTTTGCACTTTTTATCTTTTAAATATATTTTATTGATTATGCTGTTACAGTTGTCCCAATTTTTTCCTCCTTGGCTCCCCTCCACCTCGTACCCTCATTCCCTCCATCAACCCCCCACACACACACACCCCACCCCCACTTAATTAGGCCTCTGTTCAAACATTAACCACTCTGCTTGCTCAACTCCTTTTGTTCTCAGGAATGTAGTAATGAGTTACTGAAGTGGTATCTCTTTGTAGATCAGGAGGTGCTAACTTCAGAGTCAGAAAGAGAATTTTATCAGTTTGTTGTGCAGAAGGAAAGAATGTCTTCAAGGTAGCTGTGGCCAGTTGCTGGTACCCAGGAGTCTGATGCAGAAAACAGTCTGATTCAGTATATGACAATTTCATGCATCCAGTTGCTTAGTTCAAAAATCTCAGACACTCCTTAACTCCAGTTTCTCTCATTCCCTCGACCAGTCCAGCAAATACGGACAGCTCTACCTCAATCCTCAAGGCACATTTGGAAATTACCCTAGTTCCTGCGCTATCATCTCTCCTGAATTTTGCAACAGCTTCCTAACTGGTTTCGCTGATTCCACCCTTGCCTGACAACAGTAAAGTTTTCACAGTGCAGCCAGAATGACCTTTTCTTTTTCTTCTTCTTTTTTTAATTTTCACCAGAGAACATATTTCATTGCTTTTAGAGAGAGAAGAAGGGAAAGAGAAACATCAATGTGAAAGAGAAACATTGATCAGTTGCCTCCCATATATGCCCAGAAACAAGAGTCGAACCCACAACCTAGGTATGTCCCCTGACCAGAAATCGAACCTACAGTCTTTCTGTGTGCAGGACAACGCTCCAGCCAATTGAGACACATCAGCCAGGGCCCGATGATCTCTTAAGAATGAAAGTCTACTCATTTCTTGTCTCTACTCAAAGCACCTTCTGTGGCTTCCTTTCTCAGCAGTCTAATGTTTTTCCCCAAGGCCTCCCTACACCTTTGTTGATCTGGCCCCGCCTCCTTTTTGACTGGTCTTACTGCTCGTCCTCAGCTAACCCCGCTCTCCTGGCCTTCTGCCTCAGGGCCTTTGAACTGTGTTTCTTCTGTTCGGTCCATTTTCCCTCAGGCCTTTGCTGTTTTCCTGGATGACTCTATCTAAAATAGCGTTCCCTCCCCTTCACTGCAGTCCCCTTACCCTGTTTTACTTTGTTTCCTAGGACTTATCATCACTAGGTGTATTTATAAACTTATTTATTGACTTATTGACTTTATTGTTAGAGATTTATTTATACCCTTTACCATCGCATCCCAAGACACACAGGAATCTAAGTTCCAGGAGGGCAGGGATTTTGTCTTGCCCCACGATGATTCAGCGGGGGAATCAGCATCCCTTCCAGGTGGTAGGGTAGGACTGGAGGATCATGGCTTTCATTTCTGCAGTGCATGAGGCCTTCACAGACAGAAATGTAGATGCTCTGTCTCATTCCCAACTCCCTAAGGAGTTGCTGCACCTCCTCTGTAGATTTTCAGGGTCCACTATGACCGGGGTGATCCCTCCCATTGGGCCAAGCCTCTCTGCAGGCTAGAATAATCCAATCCCTAAGGGGGTGAGTACCTTGAACCTCCCCAAGTGCCATGCATGCGCTGCTGGAAGGCAGGGTGTGTGGCAATGTTGCTCATGTTCTCTGTCTCCTGCCTGGGCAGAGAAATGCTATTGCTCCCTTCTCCCATCCCAGAGCTGCTCTAGCCATGCCAAGGTACCTTCCCTGGCCTTGTGCTGGGACTTAGCTGCAACATCAGTACGCTCAGCAGAAGTATGTCCTCTCATCATGAAATTTTCTTGAACTGGGGACTGCCCCACTGGCTGGGGTTGTCATTGCTGGGTTTTTGCTTTCCTTTTTATTAGGGGTTGGATGGCATAGGGCGCTTTGTCCATTTACCTCTGTCGATTTGTCCATTTGTCCGTCGATCACTGCAGCGCCCGCCCCTTCCCTCTCGTCCTCTTCCCGGGATCCCACCTCTAAGCGTCCCAATCAGGCTTTGTCACAAGCACTCATGCCTTAATCCGAAGCATTTTATGCCCCTCTAGCTTTGCAAAACAGCATGCTAAAGCCTCCCACTTACTCTCCTGCTCTCCCACCTGTCTGCCAGTCCCAAAGTGAGCAGAGTTGTGCACAGCTGCAGATCCTTTCTAACTTCGGCTGTTCTTCCAATTTTCTACCTCCATCTTCAGCCTCTATTTGGGCATTGGCGGCCAGCCAAAGTGCCCGCCATCGAGGCCAGCCCACTGCGGCAGCCACTGGGGCCCCCTCCTTCGGGCAGCGTGCTGTGTGCAGTTCTTCAAACATGCGCATGAGGCCTCCCGGTGTCTGGGGTGTCCCTGGACTCACGTGGTAGTCCACAAGCATCTAACATACAGGCCACCCCTCCCCGTGCAGAGGTCCATGGTAAACCTGAATTTCCCCAGCAGATGCCTCTTTGCCAAGGCCCATTTCTTCAGTCTCCTAGTTGGTTTGCCATTTTTGGTTTGCAACCTGGGGAGTTCCCGGGTGGAATCTGAAACTGGCCCCCTGTACACAGGAGGCGAGGAAGAAAGAGACAGGGAACTCCAGGTTAGTAGGGTTTTTTACAAGTTTTTCAATTACAGTTTCACTCATTATTATCTTGCATTAGTTTCAGGTGTACAGCATAGTGCTTAAGTGTTGAATAAGCAAGAAGAAAAATTACTTATATCTTGTCCAGGGAAGACATAAGACAAGTAGATCTCCACTCCCACCCCAACCAGAATCTTAAAAGTTTACATGGAGGCTTTAACTAGGTTGAGTCATGTACACCGTCCAGATGGTCTCAACAACACACTATTCCCTCAATGTTTTGTCCTTGAAGACAGCTCCCACAGTGAGAATGGGGCGCAGAGCATACATTCCAAGGACAGAAGCAGGTGAGGAGCTTCCTAACGCCCAGATCCAGCTAAAGGGTCAACCAGCAGTTGTCCTCTCAATGCCCTGGTCCAATAGTGTAGGCATAGGAAATTGCGTGTACAGATGTTTCAGAGCAGTTCCCGGCAGTCTTTGCTTCTTCAAACTGCTCCTCTCTTTAAAATCCAACCTAAAATGTCTCCTCCAGGAAGCCTGGCCTCAGTACCTTGGTGGCTCTGCTAATTCTCCGTCCTTGATTCCAGGGGCAGATGCAGGCTCTGCGGGGCCAGACCCTTACACACGTTGGGGAGTGGGGGAAGGGACCTCTTTAAGAATACAAAAAACAAACGCGTCATTGTGAAAGTTAGCATTTATTTTTGTTTGGGAAAATCAACCACAGCACATAACTAGAATCTTGGAGATTGGTTTCCTTCTCTTTTGAGATCTCCATGGACAATCTACCTGAAATATTTCCTGATGGCAGCCTGGCTTCCCCCCCTCACGGAGACTACCAATTCCAGCTTTTCCAGCACTCATTAGCTACACAGTAAGCCCTCAACTTCGGCTCTTGCCCGCTTTTGTCCTGACCATTTTCCTCGTCTAACAGCTCTACTGAGCTCACACACAGAGCTCTCCTCCACCTCTCTCCTGCAAACTGGCACGTCACTGGTTTTGTGGGATGTGTAG